CCGCTGAAAAAGACTCCACACTTAATGTCAAAATTAGTAATAAGAAGTACCTCACCGGCCTCGTCACAAAGTTGCCTCGGATCACCACGGCAGAGTTGTTCAGTACACTCAGCGACAAGGACTGGCTAGACCCTTCAAGATGTATCAGCGTACTGTCACCGCCAGCCATATGAAAAGTATTGCCCACCACCGCAAACACGGAGTGCCACGACACCCTCACCGCAGATCTGACAACGTAAATGGCGCTTGACGATGCCGTCACGCTCTGAAACACATTGCCACTGAGCACCACCGCGGAGTCATTGCTGATCGCCAGTCCATTCATCGCAACACACGACGGCTTCCTAAGGTCCAAACCCGACCGAGGGATCAGCCTCGTGGCAGTGAAGCGGTTTCCGCTGATCGTGATGTTCGTGTGCGGTGGAAACCCACCCTCCGGGCTGAGCAGCGCGTCACTAAATGTGTTGCCGGTGACGACAATGTTCAACGACCCCACAGCGGCGTAGGCGTTGCCCAACAGCAACAGCACGGCCCCGTCCCTCCACGTGCATCCATCGAACGTGACATTCGCCACGTCGCCCGTCATCGCCCCTATCAGCACCGTCAGGCTCATGCCGCCCCCGCTGAACGTAACGTTGCGGTAGCACAGCCACGACAGCTCGCTGCCCACAGCCTGCGCAACCTCGGGGTACACCATGTCGCTGATGCACTCACCAACCCGCGGTGGCAGCGGTGTGGGCGGCACTGGTGGCGGCGGTGGCGGTGGCGGGCCAGCAGGCACAGGCGCCGGGACACACACATCGCCGTGCCCTCCAGCAGCGCACTGGCACTTGCAGCCAATGACCGCCGTCGTCAGCGGGGCAAAGCAGTCGCCCTCCTTCGTGCACTCCCCGCACGCGGCAACCGTCGTCACGTTGGTGATGCCGTGGAGCGCCAGTTCAGCCGCCGTCGTCACCACACGTCCCGCGACCGTCAGACACCCAACAACGAACCTGTAGCCGGCGTCAGCCCGCGATAGCAAAGGCAAAGACAACCCCGTCGAGCCCATCTTGCAGCCCGTCAGCGTCACAGCACTGCTGCTGTCAATGCTCACAAAAGCGGAGCCACTGTCGTAAAACATCGCACCCACTTCCACGTCGTTGTCGCGCCAGTCCAACCAGCTTGACTGCTGGACGGTCCACAATTCATCGTTACAGATAGCGTAACGAGCTGAGCCGCTGTTCCCCACAACGCGAAACACACTGTGATCCGACACGCTGAATCCTTGATGCTGAAGCAGCAGGCTTACCCCGGAGAACATCGTATTGTTGAGCAGTGCAAAAACGGAGTGACCACTCACACTGAGACTGTAAACGTAGAACAGGTATTTGTAGCCCTCAAAGCTGCAGTACCGCACGTAAAGCGAGCTGCCACCCACCAGCGTCAGCGTCCCGGTCGAGTACAAACCAAACACATCACGCTTTGCTGCATACGCCTTGACGTTGCTGACCAACAGCGAAGACGCAGTCAACAAGACGTCGCCCAGCAAAAACACGCTCCATATGTTGTTCACAGTACCCGGTAATTCAACCGCGAAGTTCTGTACCGCATCAACCTCCGTGATGGCGATCTCGCAGTGCTGCGGGAAGGCACGTAAAAAAGCAACGGTAGAGGACCGCATCACCGTCTGGCTCACGCGGATCAGGACGCCGGATGACTCGGCCGCCTCAGCACCCCCAAAAAACTGCAGGGCGGCACCCTCACGGAATGTGCACCCAGTGAGCGTGATGTTGATGGGGAGATGCAGCGGCATGCTGTTGAGAAAGAACGTCAGCACGGCACCCATGCCGCTGAATGTCACACCCGCGTAGCAGTGGTGCGTCTTCCACATTTTCAGCGTGAGGTTCTTCAGCGTCTGGTTCACCACGCAGCTCGTGTCGCCGTCGACGGCTCTCTCCGCTGCGGGCGGCACAACCGCGTCGGGCACCTCGAGGGGAAGACACGACGCGCCATGCCATCCGTCCTTGCAGCTGCACGAGCACGAGCTGCGGTCCACCAACTCCGTCCCGGGCATGTAGCACGCCGCGTCGTCGTCGCATGTGCCGCACCTGAACACCTCCACGCCCTCCGGAAACACGCCGTCGTACGACACCTCCTCATCACCCTGCAGGTTGCACCCAACGACAAAGCGCGCGGGTGACTCAACAATCGTGTTCGATTTAAAGAGCTTGGCGAAGAGTGCGTTTCCTTCCACCTGACGGTTTTTTGCAAGCGCCACAGTGGTGCCGCTGCCCGACAAATAAATTCTTTGCCAGGAATACTGAATGGTTAATACTGAGGCTGCACCCACGCTGTTTCCCTCCACACGCCACTGCGCACCACCCTCGAGTGTCACCGAGCCAGACAAATACACCAGCGCGGGATCAAAAATTTCCGTCCCGCCAACGAAGGTGCAGTCCGCCACTCGCAGCAGCCCCGCGGAGCTCACGGTAGTATCCCCAAAAAGAATGACGCCAACAGCCGAGCCCATCGTGTTGTTCTCCACGTCAAAGTAGCCGCCGTTCTTCACAGCAACAGCATTAACGCAAACAGATGATTCCACACCGTCATCATCCTTCGTTGTACTCAGCGTATTTCCCTTCACAATGATCCCGCCACCATCAACAACAACATCATTGATGAAATAGACTGCGTGCCTATTCCCCTCGATGTAGTTGTCAAGTAGCAGCAGCGTCATTTTCGCACTGAGAGTAAACTTCACAAATAAAATGGCGTGGTCCGACGTCGTCACAATCGTACTGCCCGCCACCAGTATCTGGGAGCTCGCTCCAAAATCACCCCTGAACTCCAGCTCACCAGAATCCATCATCGAGGATGTCACGTTCACGTGCACGCGCGCACCACTTCCCTTAATCAGCATGCTCATGAGGACGCAATGAAGCAGCGTGATGTTTAGTGTATGTTGTGATGCGTCAAAATACGACAGGTCCAGCACAATCGCGGCAGTGAAGGTCACGTTGACGAAACACAGACCACGCACACCGGGATCAGGAACGTCCAAAGAGTCGATGCTGCCACCGTGCACGCAGCGGACCTCCGTGTCCTTCGCATCGGGGAGCGGGAGCGGTCCAAGGCCGTCCGGAACCGCAGCTGGCAGACATTTGTCACCGTAGCCCCCAGCAGCACACACGCACTCACAGCCGCTGATGCTGCTCGTCCTCGCAGCGAAGCACACGGCCTCCACGGTGCACGCGCCGCAGTCCAACACCGTCACGGGCACTCCAATGTTGAGTTCTTCTAGGTAATCCGTCACAGGGGAGCCCATTACCTCGTTGCACACGCCGTAGATGATCGGGCGCGTGTCGGACGGTGGTAACCAATCGTTTGTCATGTGTGCATGGGTCGACGAGTACGAGCCATACGCGAGTTTGTTGTCAAGTATCGACCACACACTTTGATCGCGGAACGCAACGCCGTTTTCCTTGACCACGTACACAACGTATGCGATGTGGACCTCGTTGTTGCGGTGCACCAGCCAGCTGCCGTCAGTCACAGTCAGCGTGGTTGCCATGAGCATGGCGAAGCCGAGACGGAAAGTGCTGG